AGTAAGCTGTTTGCCCAGGAGCCAAAAAGGCACATGGTCGGGTCCCCTCAGAGCAAACTCCCTTGCAAGACTAAGACTCAAGGGGAATACACGAGCAGGCATGCAGATCTGGCTGATGACCACATTGGTTACTGACAAGGGGACGAGGGGGAAAAAACAACAATGAAGTTGGGATCTAAGATCGACCACATCTAACAGACTCCTATGAACCCGGGAGGAGACCTGAATAGCCAGCAGTTACAGCAAGACCCAGGGACTCCTGGGCCCAGAGGCAGTGATATGGCCACAGAGGACTAGAGTGGAGAATGAAGCGTTCAGCTGATATGAAATGAGGGGAGATGGGCAAAAGGAAATGGGTATAAGACTCTTGTGATACAACAGTTAATAACTGCCATCAGGATTGACTGTGAGGGCCGGAAATGTAAAGGTAGATGTTTTTTGAAAAAACGAGGGGAGTGATTGATTTTGCAGCCTACGAGCGGAGGTCCCTGGGACCACCAAGTGAGAAGAGTGGAGAGCGTGACCCTACCCAGAATGGCTGTAAAGCCAGGCATGGAGACAGAGATAATGACGAGGACAGATGGAGTGGCTTGGGACATGGGAATCAGGGAGCAAGAGGGGCTGTGTGCTGACAGCCAGGGGGCCGGCCTGTGGGGTGTATCCTTTGGTTATTTGATGAAGCATGGACGGGGTTATAACCACTGAATGAAATGAAATACGATAGGATGAATGTGAAGCTGATGTTCTCCCATATAAACCCACATAATTCACAATAAAAACTTCAAAAAAAAAAAATTTCGAAGTACACAGAGGCAATCTAATGAATTAGGCAGTTGCTTATTATGCATTATGCTCTCTATGAATGGTGTATCCCAAATTTGAGAGTTCCAAGTTTTAGGATGGAGGCAAAAAGACAGGTGATAACAGAATGCAATGCCAAACACAACACAACACTAAGACAGAGGTACGTAGGAGTAGATGTGGAAAGAGGATCGGTACCAAACCAATACTTGGCAAAGCAGGTGTGGTTGGGTGAGATTCTCAGACTTGAGTTTTAAGTTTAAAGAGTTTTATATAAGATGGGAAGGAGCCCTTGTAGCATAGTGGAGTACATGTTGGGATGCTAACCCAAAGGTCTGCACTTCGAATCTACCAGTCACTCCACAGAAATAAGATGAGGCACTCTGCTCCTGTAAAGATCTAGTCTTGGAAACCCTATAGAGGGTCGGGCACACAATCACCACCACCGCCATATAAAATGGGGAAAGCTTAATCTAGTGGAAATGAGAGGAGACAACACAGAGTTACAAAAAAAGGATCTAATGAAGTTAAGTCTATTAATTTTCTGATAATGATTAGAAAAAGGACATGAGATTAGAAATGTGAAGAATTAAGCCTGAGAGGTCTCTAAGGCCAAGGTTTTGAAAGGCAATTGTGAGAATTTTGATATTAATCTTGAATACAATTACAAGTCATAGATTTAAAAATGGATATATGGTTGCAGTAATAATATTGAAGCTGCCAAGGATTTCATTTTACTTGGACCTACAATCAATGCTTATAGAAGCAGCAATCAAGAAATCAAAAATTTTATTGAATCAGGTAAATGTGCTGCAAAAGCTCTCTTTTAAGTGTTAAAAACAAATATCACTTTGAGGACTAAAGTGCACCTGATCCAAGTTATGTTTCAACTACTTCATATTCATGTGAAAGCTGAACAGTGAATAAGGAAGACTACACAAGAAATGATGCATTTGAATTATAATGCTGGCAAAGAATATTGAAAGTATCATTCATTGCCAGAAAAACAAACAAATCTGTATTAAAAGTCCAACCAGAATGTACCTGAGAAATGAGGATAACAAGATTTCATCTCATATACTTTGGATCTGTTATCATGAAATTGAAAAGATAAAACATTCAGGAATCTCAATGAACCCCAGGAAGGATAGACCCCAAAAGAAAATCACTGAGACATAACATAATCAAGTTCTCAAAAATCAAAGATAAGGAGACACTCCTGAAAGCAGCTAGAGAAAACAGAAATGTTATATACAAAGGCAAGCAAGTCAGATTAAGCTAAGAGTTCTCAGCAGAAACCATACAAGCAAAAGGGCAATGGGGAGACATATATAAAACCATGAAAGAAAAAAATTGCCACCCAAGAATCCTTTATTCAGCAAAGCTATCAATCAAATACGATGGTGTAATCAAAATATCCCATGATAAACAGAAGCTAAGGGATTTTGTCAAAACCAACCCTGCATTACTAAACATACTAAAGGGAGGTTTGTGGACTGAGAACCAACAATAACAACCAGAGATTGACACACGTGGTAGCACCTCCCAGAATTAAATGGACAGAAGGAGGAGTCAAGAAAAGAACAAAACTATAAGAACAAACAGAGAATCTGGGAGGTCTATGATCAAAACAATTACAATGTAAAAGAAGATAAACATGTAAGAACAGAGATCCAGATGGTTAGAAAGTCAGGTAGGTTACAGGATAAAATAGACTGCACTAAATGAAGAGAAAAGTTAATGGACTATAAGGCAAACTCAAAGAAAATTAACACTTCACAACACACCAAGAAAGTGAAAATCCAAGAACACGGAAACATTAAAACTGAAAGGAAACTCACAAGAAAGAACACAAAAAGCATGAACTCAACAAAGGATGACATACAGAACAAAGAAAGCAACACCACAAAAAACAAACATAATGGCAGCAATTAATCCATAACTATTGATAATTACACTGAATGTAAACAGATTAAATGCACCTGTTAACAGACTGGGGGGGGGGCAGAATATATAAGAACACAAGATCCTTTAATATGCTGTTTGCAAGAGACACATCTCACACATAGAGATAAAAGCAGATTAAAAGTCAAAGGATGGAAAAATATACCAAGCTAATTGCAATCAAAAAAGAACAGGAGTGGCAGTACTAATCTCTGATAAAATAAACTTTAAGGCAAAAACCACCATAATAGATAAAATGGACATTATCCCATGATTAAAGGGACAACTGAACAAGATGACATAACCCTAATAAATATCTATGCTCCCAAATGAAAGAGCTCCAAAATACATAAAGAAAACTCTAATAGATTTGAAGAAAGAAATAGGTTAATCAATAATAATAATGGGTGATTTTAATACACCACTTTCAAAAATGGATAGAACAACCAGAAAGAAACTTAACAAAGACACAGAAGAAGTAAACAACACAATCAGACAACTGGATCTCATAGATGTGTATAAAGCATTCAATCCAACAACTGCACAATACACATTCTTTTCCAGTGCACATGGAACATTCTCCAGAATAGACCATGTATTAGGCCACAAAACAAATCTCCATAAATTTCAAAATATCAAAATACTACAAACATCTTCTCAGACCACAATGCTATCAAATTAGAAATCAACAATAGGAAGACCAAGGAAACGCAGTTAAATACATGGAAACTGAAAAAACACCTTGCTGAAAGTAACTGGGTAGTAGAAGAAATTAAATGTGAATTCACAAAGTTCCTGGAAACAAATGAGAAAGAAAATACAATATACCAAGTTTGCAGGGTGTACCCTTTGGTTAGTTGATGATGCATGGAGGGGATTGTACCATGGCAATTAAACGATATAAGATAGGATGAATGTAAAACTAATGTTCTCCCATGTAAACTATCACATAATTCACAATAAAACATTAAAAAAAAAAAGTTCTAAAGTTACCAAAGGATCATACCTGGTAAGATAATCAGCAATTTTGGGGTTTTTAAGGAGATCCATTAGCAGGTCAACCGAATACTTTCTAGTTAGTGTGCCATCACCGTTTACGAGAATGTTAAAAATTAACTGAAAAGTCTGATGAATGTTTCGAGCGTGGAACAGCTTAAAAACAAATTATAGAAAAATTACAAAAAAGTAAAAAATAAAAGTTGAATCTGACACCATTTAAACATGTAACAAAAGGCCTCAATAACTTTTAAAATATTAGAAATTATACACTCAAAATACCTTCATAGATAATGTAGTAAACCATATTTACCTTTTCCCCAACCTCTTCATTTAATGTCAAACTGGATAGTATCGAAAGAGCAAATACAACCACAGTCAAACTACTATGAGCCAAGTAGGTTATAAGAGTTCGATAAAAAGATTTCACATTATTCTGAGGAAGGAAAAAAAAAAGAATGAATTTTAAATTGGGCTTAAAATTTGGTAAATTGTTAGCAAACACCATAAGCAATTCTATTAAAAAAAAATTGTAACTTTCAAAAGATGTCTTACAGTGCTCCAAGAAAGTCACAGGATGACAAAGCTTTTAAGTGTATGTTTATCTTTATTGAAGACAAGCAAAATCTTAAAAGCTGTTATAAACAAAAAGCATTTATGTAAATATATAACTTAGTTAATGTGCCTAAATGAGTGTAAGATAAAATGTTGCCAAGTTTCACCATTTTAAAATACATAATACACTGACAGTAAATCTGGGTGGCAATTCTAATAGTTTAAAAGGAACAACTGGGAAGTGGAAATTGAAGATCTACCTTAAACACTACAAGACAAGTTATTTAGATTTCTTTTAAGTTAGGATAAAGGAAGCACAATGAGGAACCTTATAATTATGGTAAAAAGCAAAATACTGACAAAACTAGAGAATTATTTTGTGTTACACATGTTAGCTTTATCATCCTTGTTGATTATCATTTAAATTTAAAGCATCATTTCAGGGAAAAGCCAAGATGGGTTCTTTCATACATTGCTTGCTGATAAACCAAACACACTACTGTATAATCAATTTTGACTCAGAGAGATCCTATAGGACAGAGTAGAACTGCTCTACAGGATTTATGCAGGAGCAAACAGTCTATCTTTCTCCAGCAGAGTGGAGAAGAGTAGTTGGCACGTTCCAAAGCTGACCTTTGCTTAGCAACCCAATGTTTTTACCACTATACCACCAAGCACTATAGGGCTCCTTTAACGCATAGGCACTTATTCAACAATCTTTTTGGTGCAGTTGTTATTGATTTTGTGGAAACAAAAGACTGAGGTAAATGGGATAAATTGCTAGTGATGTACCTCCTGTCTATTAAGAACAAAACAATTTAGCATTCTTTAATATCATTCAGTGTGACAAGAAATGGGATGTTATGAAGACATAACTTTTAGAATTTAACATCTGTATTACTCCTTATGACCTTTAAATACAGCAGATAAAAAGGCTGTATTTATATGCCAATCTCATTCTTCATAATCTTTGAAGGTCCAGTTAGACTAAACATGAGAATCCTTAGGAACAATATGGATAAAATTTTCTATAAGTATAGAATCCACCACTAAACAAGTAAGAAACATTTAAAAATAAGCATCTTACCAAAGTCTTTATATGAGTTTGAACAGAAATATTGTGTCGACAGAGATTTGCCAATAATCCCAGACAAGGCATAGTTAACTCATCTTCAGAAGACTGACTGTTGTTTTAGTTTTATGTATATAATAAAAGGAAAAGCATTAGATTTTTAATCTACTCAAAATGATACAGTAATTTATACTTTACAATTTTTTCTATAAACAAAAAAGTAAACATTCCTAAGATGCAAATTTAAAAAATCTACTACATTAAATAAGATTATTCATTTTAGATTCTGAATACAAATAGTCTCATTCAATTGTCTCATACCCACTGCCATGGAGTGGATTAGACTCACAGTGACCCTCTCTAGGGCAGAGCAGAACTGCTTCATAGGGGTTCCTGAGATGGTAACTCTTTATGGGAGCAGACCTTTTCTCCCTTGCAGCTAGCTGATGGGTTTGAACTACCAAGCTTGCAGTTAGCATCCCGGTACACCACTGCACCACCAGGGTTACTTAACTGCATCAGAAATATGGAAATAACTGTCAGAGTGACCATGTGCTACTTCATCAGTAAATTTCTCTTAGTAAGAAAATTAACAATGTTCAGTTTCAATAACCATTATTTTGGCCCCAAACAGTTCACTTAATAAACTTTTGTTATGAAAATTAACATATAACTTCTTCACATTTAATCCTGATTTTATTAAGAGGAACAACAAAAATCAGTCTTACACAGTTTAAAAAGTTGAAAATTTATCTAAGACAAATTTAATGCCTTTTACTTGAAAACAAACTGATTATTTCATGTTTACGTAATGAAATTGCATACTCACATGTGATCTATCAGAAATGTAATTAACTCATCTATATTGGCACCAGAATGGAAAATTTTGATGTTATATGTTAACCTCTGCAGAAGTTGAATGCACTGAAAATAATAAAAGTTATTAATGTAAACACATTAAGAACATATTGCCTACTCACAAGAACAAACTATAGTGCATATTCTGAGCATGTCATCATTTTCTGAGACAGTTTAGGCTAACAACTTTTCTATTTCTTAAGTGTTTCTATCTTTATAAACAAAAGAAACACCAAGTAAAAAGACTACTTAATGTTCTTCTCCTGATTCACATATTTCTATACATTCTACTCCAATATATCTTGCCATAAATTCGGTGCACTTAAACGTCTTGTATACAGGTTGAAAAACACTATATGCTATTAATTTTACTATCTCTAAAATTGCATGTCTATCAACTGAATTTTAGGTTTTCAGTAACACTGTGTATGGCCTCATTTTGCTTTTTGTTATGCTTCCTAAACAGATTGATACTAGACAGCAGCTCAATTATAATTTTAATATGAATAGTTTACATTTCAAGGCACAGATATCTATGATTATAAGTGTCCAAGTAGTTATGATGTAGATTTGGTTTTCTTCAATAATGGTGCTAAATGTGGATTAGCTTCCCTTTTAAAAGAATATTAAACAACCACTGCCACAGAGTCAACTCATATTCACAGCAACCCTATATAGGGTTTTTGAGATTGCTAATCTTTAAAAGGAGCTCTAGTAGCGTATTGGTTACGAATCGGGCTGCCAATCTCACAGTCAGCAGTTCGAAACTACCAGCTGTTCGGTGGGAGAAAGATGAGGCTTTCTGCTCCCATAAAGATTTACAGCCTCAGAAACCCTGTACAGGGTCACTATAAGTCGGAACCAACTCCACGGCACAAAACAACAACAACAACAATCTTTACAGGATCGGACAGCCCCAACTTTTTCCCTCGGAGTGGCTGGTGGTTTGAAGTGTCAACCTTGTGGTTACCATCCCAGTGCTTATCCTACAGTGCCACCAAATCATAACTAGCTGGGGCTTCTGTGGAGTGGCTGGTGGGTTTGAACTGCCAACCTTGTGGTTAGCAAGCCAGTGCTGATCCTACAGTGCTACTAGCTTCTATTATTTTTTAATTTTATTCATAACTGTGCCAGATAATATAGTGCTATGTCAACATATGTACTACTAGTTGACAGTTTATAAGACATTATCAATTTTGTTCTAAAAATAAGGAGAAAACCAGGTGGTAAGTAATGAAGCACTGTAAGGTGTCTGTACCTGTAAAAATACTGAATCGTTGTGGCAAGCACTGCTCCGACAAACTACTCCAGCCAGCACACTATTCAGATTGTATGCATTCTGAAGACAATCTTTAGTTTCATTATCTAAAGCTTTAAATCAAATGACAAAAAATACATCATTTTCATATACAATCTATCACATACAGCTAAAAGATAAACATTTTAGGATTTACTTAATATTTAATTTATCCTATAAAAACTAAATATGGCTACTGTTTTGATATTTTCCAATTCAAAAGTTTAATCACAAAAATTTTATGAGCTGGAAAAAGGAAAGGGGATATGAGTTTTCTCTTTTTCAACTTACAAACGATTTCTCTATGTGGAATGAATCTCAAGGAAAAAAATTTATTTTACATATTTATAGAATTTGTACTATTAAGGTAATTACTTTAAAAACCAGTCTTATGCTTAAATGTCAGAAGGGACTGCCATTTTCATAGAAACTATTGATGATTATCAGAATTGGCAGAACTTTTTTGGAAAGCAATTTAGTTTGGAAAGCAATTAAGTTGAAGACTGACTTAGAAATCCTAGTGAGAATTTATTTACTCAGAGACATAAGCACTACTGATTTTAAAAACAAAACAAAAACAAAAACTCAAAAAAAAACAAAAGTGCCTATCATTGGGGGAATGGTTAAATAAATAATACCAAAATAATCCCTGAAACCCACTGCTATTGAGAAGATTCCAACTCATGTTGTTGTCGTTAGGTGCCATCAACTTGGTTCTGATTCATAGCAACCCTATGCACAAAAGAACGAACCACTCACTACCCGGTTCTGAGCCATCCTCAGAATTGTTGTTACACTTGAGTCCAATGTTGCTGTCACTGTGTCACTCCATCTCACTGGGAGGTCTTCCTCTTCCAACTCACAGCAATCCTATAAAGGGAGGTCTTCCTCTTCCAACTCACAGCAATCCTATAAATCTTTATGGGAATTGTTGTTGTTGTTAAGTGCCATGAAGTCAGTTCCGACCCATAGCAACCCTGAACAGGGTTTCTGAGGCTCTAAATCTTTACGGGAGCAGCTGGTAGTTTCAAACTGCTGCCCTTGTGGTTCACAGCCAATTCGTAACCACTATGCTACTAGAGCTCCTTACTGTATGGGAATAGACAACCTCATTTTTCTCATGTGGAGCTGCTGGTGGTTATGAACCACTTGCAGCCTAACACTTAACGCACTATACTACCAGGGCTGGTGTTGTTGTTAAGTGCCACTGAGTCAGTTTTGACTCATAGTGACCCATGTTGCTGTTAAGTGCTGTTGAGTTGGTTCTGACTCATGGCGACCTTATATAAGGTTTCCTAGGAGCAGCTGGTGGGTTTGAACTGCCGACCTTGTGAATAGCAGTCCAGTGCATATCCTACAGTGCCACACCAGGAATCCTACACAAGTGACCCCCAATAGTGTTTCAGTGGAGCAGCTAGTGGATTTGATCCATCAGCCTTGTAGTTAGCAGTCCAGTGCTTATCCTACTGTGCCACCCTAGAACTCCATTATAATAGAGATGTTGTTGTTGCTAAGTGCCATGGAACTGGTTCTGACCCATAGCGATCCTGCTTAGGGTTTCCAAGGAGCGGTTAGTGGTTTTGAACTGTCAACCTTGCAGTTCAAACTGACCTTGGCATTATCCTGCAGTGCCACACCAGGACTCCAAAATAATAAAGATATTGATATAGAAATACATGTAAGGTATATTTTATTAATAAACAAAAATGACAAGACAGGTTATAAATCATGTTGTCCCATGATACCATTTTTTACTTAAAAACATCAAAAGGCCAAAAATTACCTGTTATAGCATAGGAAAAAATCTAGAAAAACACAAACAATTTAGAAATATTATCTCCAGAGGTGAAAATGATGAATATTGGTTTTGATGGACAGACTCATACCATTATTTTCCTTATATATGCAATGTTTAGTGCACAAATAATCAGCCACAGTAAGAACCACAAAGAGCCACAAATAATTCTTTTAATTAAGTTGAACTAAAACTAAAGATCTCACTCCTCATTCTACTAACATTTCAAGTGATCAATAACCACATGTGGTTGTTGTTAAATGTCACTGAGTTGGTTCCAACTCATAACAACCCTCTATTTCTAAGGAGCAGTGGTTTGAATTACTGACCATGTGGTTAGCAATCCAGTGCTTATCCGATAGTGGCACACTAGGACACATGTGGTTTATGGCTACTATATTGGATGACATAAAAAGTTTTTCCAAACAACAACAACAAGCTCTTTTAACGCTTCTGGGTCACTGGAATTTCATATAAGTAATAATTTTATAATCTTACCAAGAAAAATCCCCCAAAATGCAAATGAGAAAGAAAGGTGACTATTAAATGAAAAATTAAAAAATAACAATGGGTGCAAATATGAAAAGAGTAATACCAACATCAGTTCTAAGTTCAATATAGTCTGTAAAGTATGGTTTCTGATCACTAGCTATGATTTTTCTAAATAGTATCCTTAACACTGTCATTACACATATATTTTTCATTTTAAATTCAAAGGTCAGCATTTCCCAAAGTACATTCTTTTCTATAGAACACCGAACCTTTGATATGCTTCAGATATCTTGGTCTTAAATGTTTAAGAAATAATACACAAAATATTCTTGTTTCAAGAGATTCACAATGTACAAATGCTCAAAAAATATATAAAACATTCTCATTTCAAAAGATTCATAATGCATAACTGCTCTGATAATACCTGTAATTTAAAAAAAAAACTTTGAATGTGAGTTATTCTCCAAAAGGATTCTGCAACTAAATCTGCTCTTTAAAAAATAATTACTTCATACATCTCTAAAAAGTAAAAGGAATGAAATAATTACCTAATTGAGATAGCAAACTAATAATACTTAAGATAAGCGGAGCACTTATGTTCGGATCTTCAAGTAGCTCTACAAGGCAGCTCAAGCATTCACTTGGTAATATCTGATTTGATGTAAACAACCGTGTGAGTTTCTGTCCAGAAATTACCTATAAAATAAGTAAAATGTGTAAGTTAAGAACTGGCAAATTTTATCTCTTCTGCATTTCAAAGAAAACTCAGTTCTACCAAAATGTCACTGACACTCAATTTAGAAACTTCACACAGGTTTCTTCTTCCCTGCTGGAGGATAACCAATCTCCTTTCTCATTAGGTCTTAGGATTTAGATTAATTTCCCCCAGAAGCTTTCCTTATCTAAACCTCTTCCCCAACAAGATTGTGTTGTTGTCAGGTGCCATCGAGTCAGAACCGACTCATTGCGACCCCATACACAGCAGAACGAAATAATGTCCAATCCTGGGCCAACCTCACTACCACTGCCACACTTGAGTCCATCAATGCTGCCACCTGGCCAAACCATCTCGTTAGGGGTCTTCCTCTTTTTCTCTGACCCTCCACCTTACTCAGCATGACATCCTTCTCCAGCGACTGTTTCCTCCGAACAATATGTCCAAAGTATGAGGGACGAAGCTTAGCCACCCTGGCCTCCAAGGAGCACTCTGGCTGCACTTCTTCCAAAACAGGTCTACTGGTTCTTTTGGCAGACCATGGCACTTTCAGTATTCTCCTCCAACACCACAACTCAAAGGCATCAATTCTTCTACGATCTTCCTTAT